CGCACCGGAGTATAAGACACACCAAGATTTTGAAGAGATTTTTGCCAAAAAAAAAGGGCATGCATAGCCTTTAGGAGGCTTGTAGAGTGCTCCTGGCAGCTGGAGGGGGGGGGGCAAAAACGAGTTAAAAACGGGCCATTTTTTGCTCGTTTTTGCCCCCCCCCCTCCAGCTGCCAGGAGCACTCTACAAGCCTCCTAAAGGCTATGCATGCCCTTTTTTTTTGGCAAAAATCTCTTCAAAATCTTGGTGTGTCTTATACTCCGGTGCGTCTTATACTCCAAAAAATATGGTAAGTCTAAGTGCTATTGCTTTGTTCAGGAGCAGTCTATCTCTGAAAAAAGACAGGGACTGGAAATGAACAAAGTTTGACTCACAATCCAGCAACATATTTATTTTAAGGGCACTTACAGGATCGGCCAAAATGACAACTTGCACCGTTGCTTTCCCTGGTGTGTCCAGGCTCACAAGAGGCGTCAAAATTTTCTGGTTCTCCTTTTGCATTAAGGCTTCGATTGCAGGCAACTTGGTGAGGAACAGGATCCAAGGAAGAAGAAATTTGGGGAGGAGGGAAAGAGAGGAGGCCAAATATAAAGAGAGGCATGGTCAGTTTGCTGCAAACAATAGGCCTCCCCTTCTAGAAAGAACTTTCAAAACAGAAAAAGAAAGTATATTTTCAAAACATGAAAAGAAAGCATGTTTGAAACGTAAACAAAAGTATTTTCGAAAGGTAAAAGGACATTATTTTCACAACCAAAATATTTTCAGGACATGAAAAGGAAGCATTTGAAAGCGTAAAGAAAGTATTTTCGAAAGGTAAAAAGAATGTTGGAAATGCAAAAAGGTTTCTCAAAACGTAAGAAGAGTTTTTTAAAACGTAAAAAGGTTTTCAAAACGTAGAAAGCATTTTCATAACATAAAATGATTTGCAGGACATGAAAGGAAAACATTTTCAAAAGGTAAACATATTTTCGAAACGTAAAAAAGTATGTTGAAAATGTCAACAGATCTTTCAAGACATAAAAAGTTTTTAAAACGTAAATTTTTTTTGAAACATTAAAAGAATTTTCATAACAAAATGATTTGCAGAACATGAAAGGAAAGCATTTTCAAAACAAACATATTTTCAAAACGTACAAAAGTATGTTGAAAATGTAAAAAGATCTTTCAAAAGGTAAAAAGTTTTTAAAACGTAAAAAGATTTTCAAAACGTAAGAAAGAATCTTCAGAACATAAAATGATTTTCAGAACATGGAAAGAAAGCATTTTCAAAGCATAAACCAAGTATTTTTGAAATGTAAAAAGAAAGTATTTTGAAAATGTAAAAAGGTTTTTTTGAAACGTAAAAATATTTTTTAATACGGAAAAAAGTTTTCAAAACGTAGAAAGAATTTTCAGAACATAAAATGATTTTCAGAACATGGAAAAAAAGCATTTTCAAAGCATAAACCAAGTATTTTTGAAATGTAAAAAGAAAGTATTTTGAAAATGTAAAAAGGTTTTTTTGAAACGTAAAAATATTTTTTAATACGGAAAAAAGTTTTCAAAATGTAGAATTTTCAGAACATAAAATGATTTTCANGTTTAGGGTTAGGTTAAGGGGTAGGATTAGGTTTAGGGGTAGGTTTAGGGTTAGGTTTAGGGGGGTTAGGGTTAGGTGTTAATTTTAGGTTTAGCATTTACAGCGTGCTTCTGTCTCCGCGCTGTTGTCGCCCTGTGATGACATCAGCTGCGCGGTTTCGTCGAGCGCCCTTCAGTCGAGCGCGGTTTTGTGGTGGAACCATGTGTGCCTTGTTTCCCGAGTCGGCTCCTTATCCTCCGTTGTTCACCTCTCCTAACTGTGCATGCGCAAATCTGGAACAGGCCCCCGGCTGTTCTTCCTCCCCGCTTATCTCCAACTCCGAAGGCAGCTGGGAAATGTCGGACGGCCCTGGCTCTATCTCTGCTTCTGACACAGAGCACTCATCAGAGCCTTCCCCAGACTCCAGGACTGGCCTAAGTTCCTCCCCAAACTCCTCATCGTCCGAGTCTGTGCCAGCTCTGGTGGCAGCTGGGGGGCCACAACACATCCCTACATATTATATTTTGGGCTTAGGAGGAAAGAGGGAGAGTCTTCAGTTTACAAGTTAGATGTGAGGTGGAGGGGGCAACACAGTGGAGGTTTACTTTCAATGCAAAGAAGGGAAAAACATCTACTGCCAACTACAGGTAGTCCTCAACTTACAACAGTTCATTCAGTGACTGTTCAAAGTTGCAACAACACTGAAGAAAGGGACTTACGACTGTTTTTCACCCTTGGAGACCCTTGTAGCGTCTCCAAGGTCATGGGATCAAAATTCAGATGTTGGCGATGGACTCATATTTATGACGGCCGCAGAGCCGTTGGGTCATGCGACCCCCTTTTACGACCTTCTGACGAAGCAAAGTTCACAGGGGAGCCAGATTCGCTTAACAACCATGTGACTAACTTAACAACTGCAGTGATTCACTTAACAACTGTGGGAAAGTGGTAAAATGAGGCAAAATTCACCTTACAACTGTCTGGCTTAGCAGCAGAAATTCTGGGCTCATTTGTGGTTTTAAGCCGAAGGCTATAAGTACCTACAAGGTCCTTCCCACTCAGTTTTCTATACTATTCTACTATACTATTCCAATGAATGAATTACCAAATTTTCATACCTCGAGGTAAAGCAAGCCCAGAATTGTAAGGAGCTCTGTGTTTTCAGGAGAGAATCTGAAAAACGCAGAAATACAGATTGCAGGGTTTTAAAGTGTCTGTTGCCATCATTAAATCCAAACCCTCATTCATTCTTCTGCAGGGGAAGGAAGGAAAGTGACCCAAAATATCAGAGTACTTGAGGGATATCAATGTTTTCTATGCTGATGGTTTAAAGAACACCCCCTTTTTAATGGCAATGGATAATGAGCCAGTCAAAATAGGCCTGCCTCCAGGTGAAAGCCAATTTAATTGGCTTTGGATTAGAGGTTTACGGGCCTTACCCACCCATGAGCGTGCCAGAGATTGTGCTGGGCTTTGCTCTAGGATGGCAGATGGAGGAGGCTGTTGTCCAAAATTGGGAGTGGGGAGGGGGACGTCTTTCATAATCTTCCCAAATTCAAGAAAGTCAAGCGCCTTCCCGTCCTCCAGGAAATCCCTTTTGCCTCACATTTAATTTCAAGATCCCTGGTTCTAGGCTGAGTGGATTCAGGATTTTTAAAAAAACAACCCGTCTCTTCTCCTTTTCTTTCAACTGAGATATTGCGTTGGAAGGGGAAAGAAAAAAGTTGGCTTTGATGTCATTCTTCAACACTTCCCATCTTTAGCGTGCAATATTTTGATGAAAATCCGATCCCAATTTGTTAGTTATTGCCACAGTTCACTCCATTCCTCTGGTTGGGAGACCTCCAGAGGATTCTTTTTTCTTCGGGGGGATCTGTGAGACTTCGGCTGGGTGGGCGGTCTTCTCCGCGGTGGCCCCATTAGCTCTGTTATTGAATTGGGGTATTGGGAAGGACTATAGGTCTGCAAATTAAGGTAAAGATAAAGGTTCCTCTTACACATATCTGCTACTCGTTCCTGACTCCAGGGGGCGGTGCTCATCTCCATTTCAAAGCCGAAGAGCCAGCGCTGTCCGAAGACGTCTCCGTGGTCATTTGGCCGGTATGACTCAATGCCGAAGGCGCATGGAACGCTGTTCCCTTCCCATCAAAAAGTGGTCCCTATTTTTCTACTTGCATTTTTTACGTGCTTCGAACTGCTAGGTTGGCAGAAGCTGGGACAAGTCACGGGAGCTCACCCCATTATGCTAGGGATTTGAACTGCCAACATTTCTGATTGACAAGCTCTTAGCGTCTTGGCCCCTGAGCCACCAGCGCCCCTTCTGCAAATTAAACGTGAGGCTCAAAGGATTTCCTGGAGGATGGGAAGGCTCCTTGCTTTCTTGAATTAATAAAAATAACAACACAGCCAAAAGGAAGCTCTTAACTGGAGCTGAACACTCATTGAAAAAGGACGTCTCTCCCTCTATCCCGTAGGAAGTAGAAACCGAGAAGATAGCTTACTCCACTGCTTTTTTATAGATTTCAATGGCTGCGTCTCGATCCCCCTCCATCAGGTGGATTCTCCCCAGTGTCATGTACGTCAGGTCATGTCGGTTGAGCTGCAAGGCGTTGTTCAGTTGATCTTTGGCCTGGATGCAAGCGAGAGGATGGGCTTGGTTTCGTCACTGTGACCCTGAGCCAGTCCGAACATGGGGGCTCTTATTCTGGCTTGAGCTGAAGGTCCCTCCCCCCCCCCCCCAATCATGTCAAGCAGCTGCTTGGAGGCGAGAAAGAAGGAACAAAATACATCAAATATATCTTCTGGTCCAGTGACAGTGTTTTGGCTCGCGTGCCAAAAGCGTGGGGAGTGCAGGCATGTGTGTTGTGCACGGGCATGCCACACCCATAATGCTATCCGCACGACCCTAGTGCTCATGCATGCACGACCAGCACTTCCCCCCATTTTTGACATGCTTTCTTCTCCCTCCCCAGGCTCCAGAGGCTTTATAGGTGCCTGGGGAGGGCGAAAACAGCCCCCCCCCCCCCCCCAGAGGCTTCAGGAGCTTCCCTGAAGCCTCTGGAGCATGAAAAACCAGCCCTATGGGCAAACCGGAAGTTTGGGAATGTACTTCCAGTTTGTCTGTAGGGCCGTTTTTCGTCCTCCGGAGCCTTCAGGGAAGCCTCCTGAAGGTCCCTGAAGGCTCCGGAGGGCTAAAACCGGCCCCATGAGCAAACCGGAAGTACGTTCCCGAATTTTCGGTTCGCCCATAGGGCTGGTTTTTCACGCTCTGGAGGCTTCAAGAAAGCCTCAGGAGAGCGAAAAATGGGCTGAAAAGAAGGCTGAAATCAGCTGGCCAACGCGGGCATGTGCGCTGGCCAGCTGACAGGGCAACAACTCGCGTGCCCTGACAAATGGCTCTAGGTGCCACCTATGGCACGCGTGCCATAGTTTCGCCATCACGGTTCTAGTCCCAACCCTTTGCTCAAGGGAAGAGTCTTGGTGGCTTAAACCCCCCCCCCCCATCCTCCTGTAAAACTAATTAGGGGGTGACATAATGGCAGGGTTCCAATATCTCAGGGGTTTCCAAAAAGAAGAGAGGGTCAACCAATTCTCCAAAGCAACTGAGGGCAGAACAAAAAGCAACGGATTGAAACTAATCAAGGAGAGAAACAACCTAGAACAAAGGAAAAATTTCCTGAGAGTAAGAACAATTCAACAGTGAAACTACCATATTTTTCAAAGACACAGTTTTTCTCCCCCAAAAAGAGGGTGAAAAACTGGGTGTATCTTATACACTGAATACGGCATTTTGGCCTCCCGAAACCCCGCCCCGCACATCCCTTTTTTCGCAAAAATTGATGTGCAGAAGGTTTGGGAGGCCTGCAAAGTGCTCCTGGGGGCTGGGGAGGGCAAAAGTGAGTGAAAAGGGACCTGTTTTTCACAAACAGGGGGGTGTTTTTGCCCTCCCAAGCCCCCAAGAGCACCGCAGGCCTTCCAAACTCTCTGCACGCCCCGTTTTTGGCAAAAAAAAAAACGGGCCCGTTTTAATAAACGGGCTGAGACTAGAGCTGCAGCGAATGTGAGGAAGAGACAAAAGATCCCAGCAGGGTTTTATAGGTCATCCTGCCCAAAAGTGCTGACGCCAGCATGAACTTCAGAATTGATGAAGGGCACAGAGACAACGCGGTTTCTTCCTGCTAAAAACCCTCCCCCATGGAAAGGCATTGGAAAGACTTCTTTGCCTCTCCCCCAGACCCAGCTGGTGGGAAGGATGGAAAAGGTTGCCGGTTTTGATATTTCTCCCCCAGGCCCATTTAAAAAACAGGGTGAGGGGGTTGGAGAGGGAGAGAGGGCGAGAGAGATGGAGACAGGGAAAGGGGGGAGAGAGAGACAGAGACAGACAGACAGACAGACAGAGAGAGGTGCAGACACAGAGACAGGGAGACAGAGACAGAGGGGGGGAGAAAGACAGAGAGAGCGAGAGATAGAGAGACACAGAGGGGGAGAGCGAGAGATAGAGAGAGCGAGAGACACAGAAAGAGAAGGAGACAGAGACAGAGAGAGGGGGAGAGAGAGACAAAGAGACAGACAGAGGGAGAGACAGTGAGGGAGACAGAGAGAGGGGGGGGAGAGAGAGGCAGAGAGACACAGAGTGGGGAGAGAAAGTGAGAGACAGAGAGAGCAAGAGAGAGGGAGGGAGACAGAGAGACAGACAGAGAGATACAGAGAGAGGGAGAGGGGACAGAGAGAGACAGAGAGGGGGGAGAGAAAGACAGAGACACAAAGGGGGGGAGACAGAGAGAGCGAGAGACAGAGAGAGACAGAGAGAGCAAGAGAGAGGGAAGGGAGGGAGACAGAGAGACAGACAGAGAGATACAGAGAGAGGGAGAGGGGACAGAGAGACAGACAGAGAGGGGGAAGAGAGAGACAGAGACACAAAGCGGGGGAGAGACAGAGAGAGCGAGAGAGGGAGGGAGGGAGATAGAGAGACAGAGACAGAGATACAGAGAGAGGGAGAGGGAGAGAAAGGCTTATCGTTTTCCTTTTCTTTTTTAAAAAGGGATGCCTTTATGTAACACAGCATATTTGTTACTAAAAGGTATAAATAGCACAGCCCTCTGTAGACTTCATTATATTTGATGGGCTTGGTGTGTTAGCATAAGAGGGACACAGGAAACTCCTCAGCCTGACAGCAAAATACACAAGAAAGCTTCCCTTTTAAAGGGTAAACATCACCCCAGAGAGAAGGGAGGGAGCGCGGTTTTTCCCCCACGGCTCGAGTGACGCAAGCCAAGAATTCTCTCTTTAATAAAATCTTGGCTTGGTCTTGGCAGGTTCTGACCCGGGAACTGCAACGTTACTGGAAGAATCAAACCTCGGTACGAGGACCAGGGAGCATCATTAACACCCAAAGGCCTGAATTGGGAAGAGACGGGAGAATCGGGCTCTTAAGAGGGGTAGCCGAAGCTTCAAGATGGCATAAGTCTCACTTGGAGGTTCTCTTTCGCAGGGCCGGTTCGGCCAAACCGATAGGGACAATTGTCCTCGGTTCTGTGAACTGGTAGTAAAAAATAAAAAAAGCTTCCGAGGATCGCAGGACTCACAGCTGATTCCCCATCCCCCCCACACACTTTTTAAAGCATTTTTTTGTGCGAACTGGCAGGGAAAAAAATGCCTCAAAAATAGCTGAAAGTGCAAAAAAAAGTTGATCACGCCCACCCAGTCACATGACACACACACCCTCCAACCAAGCCACGCCCACAGAACCGATGGTGGTGGTGGTGAAATTAGATTCCGCCACTGCTCACTAATTCGTCCGAGGGGGTATTATTTTGTTTCCAGCATTGGGCAAATGCTATTCTAGCTGTTGTTAGCAGATGTGTTAATATGTACTTAATTTTCTTTGTATATTTCCCTTGGATTATTCCCAGTAGAAAGATTTCGGGTTTGTATTTTATCTGTTCTCCTGTAATTTCTTGAAGAAATGCTGTCATAAATTTTATTTTTCAAGTTGTGAATAGCAATAGCAGTTAGACTTATATACCACTTCATAGGGCTTTCAGCCCTCTCTAAGCGGTTTAC